ATTCCCCATAATATTCTTGCTTGACTTCAATCCTGGTATCATCTACAGTCAAGGGATTTCAATTTCCAGGAATCTACTAATCCTGACTTTCCAAGGTTAAATGCTATTTTAGGCTGAAATATAGAATGTTTAAACATACATACAATTACACAAATTTTTCCATATCATAAATCAAACTTTATTAAAAACATTAAATATATTTGCAAATATTCCATATCATTTTAATTTTGGGGGAAATATTTTTCACAGCAGAATATACAACTCTTCCCATACAAAGCTATAAAATAGCATTATTCATAGAATTTACAGGTTGTCAAAAATGTTAATACAAATTCTGTGTCAATGTTCATTATTTTATGCTGGATTTGAAACTCTACAAAGGTCCTAATCACTGCAAAACAATATATCACACAATAAACAAGCGATAAAAGTTCTTTCGCTTATAACAAATAGTGTATATAACTAACAAATTAGAGAAAAAAACTGAAAAACTATTAAATAAAAAAGAAATTTGAGAAAAAAGCTAGATACAAGATTCATATTTAGAATTCAAAGGATTTTTACATGTTAATAATTTGAAAAAGCCACGGAGATGGGAAGGAATAATACTGACAATCAAAATATTTAAAATGCCTATAAATAAACCTAATAAAACAGAGAGGAAACAGAGAGTAAGACTTCAGTCCAATATATAAAGGAACTTAAAAACAGATAACTAATTCTTAGAATATAGTAGATTATAGTTGTTGATCTTCCCTAAATTAATTAATAAATTCAATATTATTCTTAGGAAACCTGTGAAAGCAATTCTAAAATCAATGGGGAGAAGAAAAAACCAAGAAAATCTCGGAAGGCAGAAACAGATACAGGAATTTTCTTCACTTAATATCAAATTGTATCATAAAGCAACAGTTATTAAAATAGTGCTATCTTGGTTTAAAAAGATAGAAACAGCAATATAACAGAATTAAAAATTCAGAAATAGAATACAGATAGGAATTTACTTTAGGATGAATGTGTTAAATCATGAAAAAGGACTAAAAATTCAATGGTATTTGAATAAAAGCTTATCTCATTGGGTGAAAAATGAGTCTTTACTTCACATCATAAGCATAAATAAATATCAGATTATTTAAAAATAAAACTATTAAGAATGTTGTAAGATATTTTTAAGTATCTTAGATTGAGGAGAGAGGAGACTGAAAGGAAGCCTTTTCAGGCAAGATACAACTGCCAAAAAATACCAGGAAAGAGAGAATCAGATTTTGACTCCATATGACACTATGAAATTAAAAAATAAGAGATAGATGCAGAAAAAAGACCTATGTATATCAGTATCCCTAAAAAAATCAATAAGCAAAGTTAAAATATAACTGAAAAATGAAAAAAAGCGATACAAATAGGTAGTTCATCAAACCACAAATAGGTGATTATGAAAAGATAAAAGATGATCAACTTCATCCAGTAATCTACAAAACCTAAATTAAGCTACTTTTTCAGTTATCAAATTTACAACATAAAAAGGAAAACTGAAAACAGTATTAATGAGGGAAATGGGTATTACTAACCATAGTGAGAATATATAAATTGGTACAGGTAGTTTTGTTGATAATATGTCACCTATTTAAATGTAAACAATTTTAATTGTAATTCTGTTTCTTGGCATAGGTTTTATAAATATATGTATGTACACTATAAAGTACATAATAAAGTATTTCAAAAATTGTAACCAACAATAGGCAAATCATTGGGTTATTTGTAGTTAATGTGACAGAATATCATTTCAGGCATTAAGAATGAAATAATTCTCAAACTTGAAAGTGCATTAAAATACACCTAATTAGGTAAGTAAAATGCCCATTGTTATCAATCTCAAAGTTCCTGATTGAGTAAACCTGAAACCGCTTATGATTCTTCATTTTTAATAACCCAGAGAATTTTGATAATGCTGGCTACATTTGTCACTCTTTGAAAAATACTAATGTCTAATGTAACATATATTAAGTAGGAAAGTAATTTCAACAAGTTGTATTCTGTGATTTTATTAATGTTTTTTTAAAAATATATTTTTATATGTAAATATGAACAATACATTTATGAAAATAAATTCATGGGAAAATGTCTGGGAGGATACAATTTATAATAGTAGTGATTTGGGGGCAAAAATTTGAGATCTTCGGGGATGGGGGAATGAAAAAAAGGACTTCTATAGTTGCCTTTATAAATCTGATTTATAAAATATATGATTTTATTTTTGTACCAAGAATATTCTTATGTATGACCTGTATATGTTAGAAAAATGAAACATCATAAAAAGGTAATATACTTTTTAATGTCATGAGTTCATATTTGTTTTCAAAATGATAGTTCACTTTTATAGGATTATCAACTATTAAAATGACAAGCTGGTGGTATTTCTAAGCATTCTGTTCCTTCAGGTAAGGCATTTCATTTCTATTTCCTTGCATATGCATGTCTCTACTCTAGATATCTTTTCTAAAATATGACAATAGTTCCAACTCAAGAAAATTGCCTCTTCACAATACAAGGCTTTATTTTCTTGACTTAAATTTAGAGGAAAAATTCTCAGGGATGAATTTTGACATTATCACTACAAAAGCAATAGTTAACCAGAGAACAAATGTAGGTAGGGAGGAATTGCTTCTTTCTCTACTTTCCCAAGGGAAACAAACCACTGATGAGACGAACAAATCAAAGTCTCTTCCTCAAAGACATGGTAGCATTTGGGAAGCATGAGACCTTGGTCAATAGGCTCACTTTAAATAGAAATTACTTCATGAGTTTAAAAGGGACAAGTTATCTAGTAAAGTGGAACATTACTAAGGAATTTATTATTGCAACATGCTATCACTCCATGAAATTAATTGGACAATAATTATATACTTACTGATTTCTTGGTAGCCAAGAACATTATGTATATTTTACATTTTGATATTATAAGATTATTTAAGAAACAAATACAATATATGGCATTATAATGCATGAGTCATGATAAATTATCTTATTAATGGATAACTAGCCTAAATTTTATTCCTAGATGCTTTGCAGAATTAAGAATAAAAAGTAAATTATTTATTTCATATCTAATTCAAGTTCTCACTCTGTTAGGCAATATTTTATAGAATCAATTTTATATCTAGAGAGGAAAACATTGTTTAATCATGTTTTCAACTGCTTAATTTTAGTTGAAGAGAAAAAAAAAATCACAATGATACTCAATTGGGACTCTGACTCCCTAGGTCTAGTGTTTGTCTACTGCAGGTATGCACCATCAATTTTCTTTCTAAAAAATTCTTTTCATTATTTTTCATATAACTCTTCAGTTGTACCCAGGTTTATGTGTTTTATTATACAACTTACTAGTAATCAAATTACTCAAATCTGAGTAATTTAACCCATTTCAGAATTTCCTTCAAAACTGTTCCATCCAGGAAGCCTTCTCTGACTCCAGCAATACTAAAAATAGCCGTCTGGACCACTGTGAACTGAGTTGACTTGAACATCATTCATAAATATGCTTCCTTTTGTGATTAATTAAGCAGTGTCTATATAGAAAACCTATTTTCTTAACTAAAACTGAAGACACATGATCTAAAAATATTTTTTCTCGATTTGGAAGCTTTTGTAAATATTCAATTTGAAGACAATATCAATTTATTTATAAACAATTATTTTTACTGACTATTAAAATAAAATACAATTAATATTTTCCTAAAATATTCCTAATGATATTCCAGAAAAAATAAATTCCTAAAACTAAATCTAGAAACCCTCCATTTGCTTATTGAATAGTTTTGTTGTAGGTAGAAGATGAGCATTGTTCTGCAGCATTTAATAGCTCTAGTTAAGAACCTTATTGACATTTCAAACTATTTGTCACATTCATCTATTAATCAAGAGATATGAAGCTACACTCTTCGGTAAGAAAAGAAATCTGAAAAGATGATGTATCTTCACCCTCAAGACACTTAGTGTAAGATGTACCCATTGACAATGGTTGCGAATGCTCCTTCTGTCCCGTGATTGGACAGCAGGTGGTCAACACTCAAAATATCCTGGCAGGTATATTATTTGGAGTTTTCCCACCAAATTAAACAAACTGATGAGCAAATTAATTGCTTTATTCAGGATGAACATATAGGTCATATTTTAAAAGGATTATATTACAGACTATTTCCAGAAGTAAATACTTGATAAGGATTTAGAATCCCAATATACTATGAGAAAAAGACAAAAGAAATAAACAACAACAATAATAATAAAACACCTAAATCTGAGGATGAAAGAATTCAAATATTTGGTTTAAATTTTGCCAAATGCTAAGGAAAAAACGATTAATTCAGGCATAGAATACATGAATGAAATCTGTGAATCTAAACTTTCATATGAATTACCTGTAAGCTAATTCCAAAACAAATGCTAAAAGTTATCACAAATGTAGCTTGAGGATCAATATTCACACTTAGAATTTTAAACTGGAATACAAATCTTTTTCATTGCCAAATAAAAGAAAGCTAAAATTTAGACCTTCACCATACTGAAAAAAACAAAAGTAAAATACAGTACTCCAAAGAGAAGCAGCTCTTCACCATACTTTACCAAAGACATTCCATTTTTCTACTTTTTATTCCATATAAAAATGCCAATTTTACAATGAATCTGTATGTCAATAAAACTTAATAGTAAGTCTACCATAAGGTTTTAGCAAAAAGCACTCAATATATCGTTGACTAGTCTTAGCCTGTCATTGGGTATAATTCTTCTTACTAATTTGTAGACATAATTTGATTCTCCAGATATTTTAGAGTAATGATTAAACATAAAAACTGATGAATAATCATAAATGATACGATAATCATAAATGATTATGCATCATTATGCAATATTTCATGTATAATGACTATTCAATATTTGGGAAAAAAACAGAAATGACTTAGGATTTTTAAATTATATTTTAGACTGAGTATTCATAAACATACCTGATATATAAGGTCTTTTTGAGGCAAAGGTGGGGATCCTTCTTCATACAAAGGCGGTGGTTTATGTGTGGGTGGAAGATCAATCCTGCATTAGAAAGGTTAAAAATGTGACTGCCATATTTAGCAAAACAAAGGAGGCAGAAAAAAATCAAAGTTCTCACAAGTCAAGGGGATATTTTCCTCATACTATAAAAAAATTATTATTCCATCTTATGTGTTTAACTCACTTCTTATTTTCCTTTAATGTACCAAACAGAAAATGAAAGTAATCATTAATTTTAATGTTTAGGACTAATTTATTCATATTTAATTTAAGAAGTAGCTCAAGTAGAATAAGCATTTTTTGAAAGTTACACTTATGCAAGTAATCTAGTACATGACCAATTTACTTAACTACTGTTTTCACATTGACTATCTCTGCATTTTAAAGGTAATCAAACAAATATGTCATTACACTTTCCTCTAGAGTATCATACAAGTGATTTAAAACACTTTATTTTCAAATAATACTGAAAAAAGTTTATATTGTATTTTGGAAATACTTCCAAGTCTGACTTTCAAAAGACCTCCTTACTCTTAGAATATACATCACACAAATCAAGATTTTCCAGTCTACAGATCATAATCAATCTTGCCACCTGAAACAAAGAAAGGGACCAATATATGCTTAGGAAATGCACTTGTGAACTAAAAACAGATTTAAATATATCTTGTAGTTCTTTATATTTTAGAACATAATTTTATATATATATATATATCTTTGTACTTTTAAAGATTATATATTTTCAGTACTTGTAATTAGTAAATAAAACATAAGACTGACTATATTTAAGGATGAAGGGAATGAAAGCTATAGATAGATACTGATGTAAAAAATTCTCTGTGGTTTAATAATTTCTCACATGGGCATAAAATAATATACTTAATAAACAAATTTTTTAAAATAAACAAAATATTTAAGTGATGCATTAACCTAATAATAAATTGTATTTGAAATTATAGAAAAGACTGTGATAATTTGAGAACAAAGGTACACTATGCTAGTCATTCTCTATTAAAGAAATCGTTTTATGAAAGGTGTCACAATGAAAGAGCACTTTACTGTTATTTATGTAATTTTATTTTTTCACCTAATGAAAATCACACCAAATTCTTAGCTCCAAAGTATCAAAGGACAAACTGAGGATTACAAAAGTAAAGTTACTTTTTCATAGTCAGACCATCAATTTGATCAAGGCAGAGCTGAAACTGACACCCTGATATCTTCAATCCAAAAAGAAAAGAGGGGCAATTGTGCCAGATTAGAGAAGCAGATAATATACAATGCATTTTTAAAGATAAAATGAATTCATCCTTTAAATGCCAGTCTTATATCCTTAATAGAAAAATAAATAAACAGCAGAAGATTTAATGCTAGCCAGGTATGATGGTGCAGGGATGTAATGCTAGCTACTTGCAAGCCTAAGGCAAGAAGATTGCAAATTGGAGGTCAGTCTGGGGAGCTTAGTAAAATTGGACCTCAAAATAAAAGAAAAATGGTGGGGGGCCTGAGGGTGTAGCTAGATACACAGAGAGCTTGCTTAGCCTACATGAAGTCCTGGGTTTGATCCTCAGCCCTGGAGGGAAGGGGAGAATGCCATTTGTATAGATCTGTACAGTTCATAAAACATTATCTTATTCTATTCCCATTATAACCATGTAAAGTAAGTAGAAAAAGTATTATTCATAGTTCACAGGTAAAGCAACAAAACTACTGATAGAACTGAGAATGGAGACATATATCATTTGATTCTGCAACAAGGTGAAATTTCTATTTTATCAAACCATCTCAAAGATTACGCCCAGAATGTTGCTTGTTCCTTGAATAAAAACATGTATATTTTATAATTCACCAAAAACAAGCATTTCTCTTAAAAAAAAAACAAAAAACTTCAAAACTTGATGTATTTAACCACTCTTGGTAGATGAAAGCTATATCTTTATATAATACAGACATACACAATCTGAAGAAGTAAAAAATTAAAAGTTTCTAAGGCATTTTTAAACCTTTAACTAGTACTTCATCAAAGGCCTGCATTTCTAGTCAGAGGATAGGCAACATAAAGTATCAATGTGTAGTAGTGTGGAAAAATGTCTAGTACACTCTGGGTAAAAATGTTGTTTAATTTATATTTCTTTTCTTTTTCTTTTTTTTTTTGAGAGAGAGAGAGAGGGGAGAGAGAATTTTTTAATATTTATTTATTTTTTTTAGTTTTTGGTGGACACAACACCTTTATTTTATTTTTATGTGGTGCTGAGGATCGAATCCAGCACCCCACGCATGCCAGGCGAGCGCGTAACCGCTTGAGCCACATCCCCAGCCCCTTAATTTATATTTTTATGGGATTCCTTGATGTTGTTCACTTTCTAAAATGTAGTTTAAGATGTCATTTTGAAACCACTGCTGTATTTAACAAGTCTTAGATTATTCTAACTTCTCTCCCTTGGACACTTTAAATACATACAGTTGTAAAGGCAGATATAAAGACTAATGCATAATGAATAGTGATAGTAGAACAGAGGCAAAAAAAGTTACCTACACTTTGTCAAGGTAGGATGGTCTCTTTTTCCGAGGAGTGAGCAGCACAGTCACAAAGACCGCAATGATGAAAAGGGCAAGGACAGCTCCAATGACAGCTCCAGCTACAGCTATGGAAGAGGTCTGCTTAAATGGAACATCTGTAAAGTAACAAAAATTAGGCTATTCAAAACATTTTTAAGAGTTCTTGAAATTACATACCTTAATTTCTAAATTGTGCAAATGCTATTTGATTGAAGTATGGTATCCAACAGTCAGTTTATAGGACCCAAAATTCAATTCATTAATTTGAGTACCATTCGGTTAACATCCTTTTTTCTTCCTTATTAAGCACCCCAGTTTTGCTTTTTTCATATTATGAAAATAATATCCCCAATAGATATCAACAATTAATCTATTCTTTATGGTTAAATGTCTGGAGGAGAAAAAAAATATGAAAATAATTTTATACTCTTACTCTAAAAGGTGATCAAAAATCAATATTCTTTAAGAGTCAACCAACAATACATACATTCACCATTTTTATTCTATTAGAATGAAAAAGAAACTATTATTAAAGAAACCAAAAACCTTCAAGAGAAAAATATCAAAAAACACCACAGATCAAATGAATACAGTATAAATAGTGACAGCATACTAAAACATTTTTTAAATTTTTAATATTAATGTTTTAAAACAAGACTAAACATGGCAACAAGGGAAATTCTTTCCTATCTGGCTATTGACATAGCATATCACTTCTGAATATCAACTTCTCTTTCCCAGACTATATCACAAATTTTGTAAAAAAGAATATAATAAATGTATTTAGCAGTTAGCATTTCACACAATGTTTAAAAAATTAAATTGCTATATTTTTGAACTACAAAATGAGTCCACTAAGATTACTATAATAAACTATATTTTAAAATTTAGGAAGTATTAAAGGACATGACCAAACCATGGATCCTATGTATATTATTTTGACAATTTCAGTCGTATTAAATTCAACTAAATTTGTGAGGTGATTCATAAGTTGCAAGTTTCTTTATATACATGATTTTGTTTTATCCTTCTAACCAATAAAAGATATTGAAAATAACATTTTATAAATGAAAAATACTGTGGTTCTAAAGTTGAATGATTTACCTATGATCATTGAGTCAATGAGTAGCAAAGAAAAAAAGAGTGGGAAGGGTAAAAGTCTTCACCCTCATGTCCTTGTTTGGGGAATAATGTTTTCTTTTGCAATGTCTAATGTAGACTTGAATTTTGGGCTACCTATTTGCTAATAAAAGCTTAGTTTTCACTTAAATTGATTTATTCACAAATATTGTTAAACAATTTCAATTACTATCCAGATCCAGATATGGGAAATTTAAATATTAAAGCACTGTAAGGATTGACTATTTCATCTACTTAACATCATGTCATAGTCTTGCCATTTAAGTATGTATTTAGAAGTATCTTCTATTTTATTGTGGCCACATGGTGTGTTAAATGGTCAAAAAGAACATTTTACTTTCCTTCCAATCATAAATATTTCTTCATAAATACTTACTATTCTGCATTTATTTATTAATGTGTCATTTTTTAGCCTCACTCTAGATCTATTGTTGCTCATTAATCTCTAGTATTTCCATTTCACTATGTACTGGATGAGGAAAAAAAATGGAACACAGTGCAAATTTACTCAGCACTTATAAATGTTGAAGATTTGGGATGATTTATGAAAAATATATCCTACATTTTCATTTTCCCCATCACATAAATTACAGCCTTGTCCATTGGTCAGTTTTACCATTGACTGTAAAGGAGATGACTCTACCAATCTTTAATAGCTAAAATTGAGATTCTTAATCTACAGGTCATAACTGAGTTTTCATCAAACTTCATATCTTCAATAAAGGCTTTCACTTAATCTTAGCAATAATCTGAACTTTAGTAGTGCATTGCAAGTATAAAACATAATCATGTATACTTTAATGTCCAAATTCCCAACCCTAGATACAATATTTTAGTATTCTGAATATTCGAATATATATTATTTTTAACATTTTAATTATTACCTTGTTATCCAATTCTGTCACATTAGACTTATCATTTCTAACTCAAGGCGTCTACAGCTGAGAGTTGACTCTATGTATACTACTATACTACTGTATTTCCTTCTATCTTAATTTAGGCATTTTTTTTCACCTAGTTCCATTTATTCCATTTATTCATATTTATCCTCTCTTTTGCATACCTCTTCTTAATATCATAACAGGATGTTGAGTGCTGAAATGAGCAAATGGAAGAAAATTAAGTATGAATCCATTCATCAAACAGATAATGGGGGTAAAATTTGTGTTAAATACATAATGGAATATAGTACGTATTTCCTTTTACAACTCTTTTACTAATTGAGAAAGGGAAATATGTACTATATTTAAGAATATTAAAATTTGAAGGACAGCAGTCAATAAATACAGTATGAAATGCAAAGAGGTAAAAAATATCATGCATTCAAATCATAGGATTTTGATGAAAACTGAGAACTTAGTCACTACACTGCCACTCCAACATCCCACTTAAACACACATATACCACATATATAATTCCAAAAAAAAAAAAAAAAAAACATGACAAGGAAAAAATCAAACATGCTAATTTATAAGTTAGCATTATTAAATGCTAAGCTAGTTTACTGATGGCTGACAAGAAGCAACATTACCACCACTTAAGATGTTCTTAAAGTCTAATAACGTTTATAAGTAAAGGAAAAATAAAAGGACAAAAGTGTGTTACATTGACCATGAAAACTGATGCACACGTCTCTAAAAAGAGTAGCTTGTTGCTATAATAGTAGCCACAATATGCAATGACAACTCACCTCCAAAAAAAAAGAAAAAGAAAAATAGCATTCCATGATAACAACAAAGGTATATCACCTATAGAAGATATCATGTATATAGCCTCTAAGAAAATGTTCAAAATCAATTACAAATCATACTAAAAAAATTTACACAAAAAAATTACTTTTTGGAAAAAGTATGCACATGGCAAATATTACAGACATTAAGGCTTTCTTCATTAACACTGTAATAAAAAATGAATAGAAATGTGAAAGTTAATCAAGCATTATGTGCACACCTAATCCATCTCTGAAAGTGAGACAAGATATTCTTGTTTCTTTTGCAAAAACTTCAGTGATCACATCACACCATTCAAAGATTAATGCAATGACCTACAATCTTTTATTTGCTCCCATACCCACTCCCATTTTTCCCTCCAATTAAATGTATAAATGTTGGGAATCCAATATGGAGCTTCCTGCATGCTAAGCAAGGTTATTGCCAATGAGCTACACATACCAGTCCTTCATTCTTCATTTTTAAACTATCCCTTTAATTTTATCTTAATATGACATCTAAGCCTTTATATCCACACTAATTCTAATCTCTAATATTTATTAAAAATGCTCTATTTGGATCAGGTAAGACGTCACAGTCTCTTATCCAACAAACTACTAAAAATCTAATATGTTCCAAGCATTGTGCTAAGGGTTAGGAATGCAAGAATGAATCTTTAGGTGATCAAAAAAGAAAAAATTCCCAAAGTGAGGTCACAGAATGCATGAAATATGCATGATCAAATCAAGTAAAGAAATTTCACTGCTTATATTTAAAAATAATTCAATAAACTCAATATTCAATAGTGCACAAGAATTGGCTCTGACAGCAGCACTTGGTGGATGGGGCAGATGTTTTACCTGCCACACAAAACACCTGCAGTACTGTTTTTTTTTTTTTTCAGTAGTAGTAACTTGGTTTTTCCTTCTCATATGCATACATCTTATGACAGGAGAGCTCAGCTGAATTAGCTGATACTTAAATTTAACAAACAATTAAAAATGTAAAGGAGGAACTGTATAGGAGTTTCATGTGAAAGAAAAACACCTGACACATGTACTACATGGGGTTATCAGTGCTAATCTGTTATATACCAGTAAGTACTGATTCATTCCTGAAAAGAATTGATATAATGAAGATAATACCAATACAGGTACACTTAACAAAAAATAATGCAAACACCTTATTCCTAACACAAACTTTATCAGTTACATCGTGAAATAAAACTATGGCAATCTAATGAGATGACAAATTGATTAAAAAAAATCAAATACATCAGGAGATCAACTAAAATACAGATTTATATTTACTCATTAACAATAAACCTCACACTAGGGCTGGGGTTGTGGCTTGGCAGTAGAGCGCTCACCTAGCATGTGCAAGTCCTGGGTTCGATCCTCACACTACATAAAAATAAATAAAATAAAAGTAAGACACTGTGTCTAACTACAATATATATATACACACACACACACACACACATACATCACACTAAACCTATACTGGGCTGAAACAACCTAATGCCCAAGGTAACATGATTGTCATTAGCAAGGCACTAAAAAATCCAAAAACCTTGCACATAAAAACAAGCTCTATAAAGAGTCTAAAAAGAGGAGTTGGGATGAATACTGTTGAAGTTCCCAATAATATTGCTTCTTCCTTTTGAATCTAGTTAGGTTTCATAGGTAGCATTTTGGCTAACACACTTAACCAAGTAGTAATATATATTATTGTTAAATCATTGAATCACAAAGTATAAAACCAAGAAGAAAAAACAAATGAAGCACAATCATGTGCTTTTTCCAATGTTTTTAGTAAGAAAAAAGGTTAATTTCAAAGATGAAAGACAGTTATTACCAAAATAATTAAGGTTTTCTTTATTATCGCTTTAATAACAAAACATTAATCTTAAAAAATTATTCCATCAGTTAAAATTGCCATTTTTATAATGTATATAGTCAAGTTGCTATAGTACCACAAATATAATTTAAGTATATATGAATTTTTAATGGAGAGTCTAGGAAAGATAAGCAAAAACTAGAATAAAATGATAAAATGTGAAGTGAGTTGTGATGAATGGAACTTGAAACAAAGGATATAGGCAGCAGTTACTAATTCTAAGAAGAAACTTTCATAAATCTATCATTTGAACTGGACTTTGAATATGGACTGGTTTTCCAATGTGCAAAACGGAAGTAAAAGAAACATTTGGTAGGACATAATATCAAAGCACATGGTATGTTAACAAATATAGACATTGAGAAAGT